GGAGAGGTCAGTCCTCCCCGGAAAATTTCGGGGGAGGCCCACACCCCTGTGCGCCCCCCCCGTACTCTACGCCTATGTTGTGACATCACTTCCAGTTATGACGAGAAGTGATATCATGCAGAGTTGCCCTCCCATTTTTGTTCCAGCTGGACGAAAGAGGTTGCCTGGCAGTACCATGGAAGCTGGACGTAAGGTCATCAGCTGCAGCATGGGAAATCCTTGGAGAACTTGGAAGCAGTGCCTAGGGAGGGCAGAGCTTGGGGATGGGGTGGGGGGAGCTCAGCAGGGGTGTGACGCCCCCCTCCAAAGCTGCCATTTGCTCCAGGGGAACTGACCTCTGTCGTCTAGAGGTGAGTTGTGATTCTGGGGAAACTCCAGGTCCCGACCCGCCTGGAAGGTGGTAACCCAGGCGGGAGTGGGGCAGGCCTGCTTGAGAATTTGATTCCTGCTCCTACAGCACAAAGCAAACCAGAGACATGCACAGAGGCCCCCTCCCCACTCTGAATGTTTCACTGATGCTGTAAATCACAGAGGTATCGACCGGCCTGCTTCCCTCTTGGGGGGAGGGGGGCAGAGAGAGCCCAGTGCAAGCAGACAGAGCAGCCGTCCAGGCTCTGGTGGGGCGGCTGTAACTCAGGGTTAATGAGCCTTGAAAGCCGCTGAAAGCCGGGAGAATCACCCAATAAATACAAGGCCGGGCCTCTTAAGTCAATTGGGGAAGGAAAACACAGCAGGCCTTTTGTCAACGCAGGCCAAACGCAAGGGATAAAAAGCATCACCCTGGCGGGAAGATCCCATCACCCCTTGGCTATATTTCCTTGGGCCTCTCTCCTGCATTCATGCGCTGTCAACTCTGTGGCTGGTTTACCTGCTGCGATATCCCTCTGCTTCTCTGACCTCCTTTGAACCTCTATGGGCCAGGCCTAGGGTGGCCACTTCTGCCCTGGGCACTGGCAGGGGTCGTAGGCAATGTTCCCTATAAGCTGTGGAATCTTGTGAGCAAAATTTTTACTTTGTGAGCTACAGCCATTTGGCTACTGCATACATTAGTTTGCTCTGGAGCCATCCTTCCTGAGCTGAGACAAAACTGCGTGAGCCAGAGGTTGAAAAACTGTGAGCTAGCTCACAGTAACTCAGCTTAGAGGGAACACTGGTCATAGGATCGCTAGATCCAGGTTGGGAAAGTGCTGGAGATTTGGAGATGGAGCCCGGGGAGGGCAGGGACCTCAGTGGGGTACCCTGTCGTAGAGTCCAGCCTCCAAAGCATCCATTTCCTCCAGGGGAGCTGCCCTCTGTAGTCTGGAGATGAGCTGTAATTCCAGGGGGTCTCCAGGCCCCACCTGGAGGCTGGCATCCCAGGACATTTTCACCAGTCCTTCACAGCAGCCTAGCGGGAAGCTAAAATAACCCCGGGGCAAACCAAGGGGAACAGCTGTTGTGGCTAAGGGAGCCAACCTTCAGGTGGGGGCGTGGAGTCCTGGATTTAGAAATGAGCCCTAGATTTGAATCCAGTAGCGTCTGAGAGACCAACGAGTTTACGCTTTCGAGAGTCAAAGAGTTCAGTTCCCCTGGGGAGAAACTGGCCGCTTCAGAGGGCAGACTCTGTGGCATGACGTCCACGCAGAGCTCACCTCTCCTCCCAAATCCCACCCTCCCCGGGCTTTGCCTCCAAATCTCCAGGACTTTCCCAACCCGAAGTTGCCAGTGTGGTGTTGGATTCTCTGGACTAGGTACTGCCAGGGAACCGCGGGAAAAATAGCAAGAGTGCTCAAGGGCTTAAACGCAGCCAAGCTTGGGTCTTGGTGTGGCAGCAGACTTACAAAGGCCCCGCTCACACGGAGGATTTGCTGTGTGAAAGACACGAATGTCAGGCGGATTTTCATGGTGCGATCACACCGCACCATCTGGGAAGCGTAGTGCACCTGTGGCCAACCCGTGGCGTCCTGCCAAAGATGCGCAGTAAAAAAGTACAGCGGAAAGTGCGCTAGTATCCGGAAAAAGCGGGGCAGGGGTGGGCGTCTGATCGCGGGAGCGCTAGTATCCCATGGTATCCGGCGCCCGTCCAAGTCCCGTCGCAAACCGGATGTTTTTCGTAAGCGCATGCGCACAAACACGTAACTGAAAGCAGTGCTGCTCCGCGGAACTGCGCATGCGCACAAATGCGAAACGCTTGCCGCGCCACTTCTTTGCCACGCTCCAGCATCACCGTGTGATCGCCAGCTAACAGCCTAAGCGCGAAGACTCGGGGGACCATCTTATCGGGCTACCGCGCTTTATTTTGCTCCGGGGCAGCCACACCTCCCCCCCCCAGGGCCGGCTCACTCACTAGGCGATCGCCTAGAGCGGGACGGCCCTTAGAGGCACCAAACTGCACCCGGCCCCGTACTCTGGGAGTTTCATGATTATTTGTTTTTTTCATTCTTCCTAAAATGCATTTATTTTTGAAAATTGGTGGGCGCACGGGGGGGGGCAGAAAGGATCCTCACCTAGGGTGCAAAATAAGCTGGAGCCAGCCCTGCCCCCCCCCCCGCATGATCTGGCCCGTGTGACCAGGGCCAAAGTCACACAGAGTCAGCAGTCAGTTCTAAAACTAATAAGTAACATTTATTAAAGGAAATACATGGTTGAGAGTGCAGGTAAGAGATAGATGCAGATTGTCTATTCTAACTAGTTAGATGGTGTTGGATGCTGAACACATGTCCAGCCTCCATGGTGCAAGATGGAGATCTTTGTGCATGGGAGAGAGAAGAGAGTATGGGGGAGAGGGAGAGAGCAGGAGCAGAGGAAATTGCCCCTAAGAGTAGCATTCTACTTCAAAGGAAAGGATCAGATAGCAGGAAGGAAAGGATGCTCTGTGTGTCCTGACCTCTCTATCTGTCTAAACTCTTTGGTGCCATCTTCTCAAGTCTGAGACAGGAGACAGCGCCAAGTCCTCCATTTCTAACATGTGGCACCAGCGATAGGCATTGGCTCACCCACTGCTTCCTCCCACAAGCTGGTGGCCGCGCAGGAAGAGACCGGGGTTGAGTTGACATCACAGGCATGGTTGCGGCTAAAGGGTCTGCAACAGGAGGCTTCTTGAGATACCGACAGAGTTGCCGGGGCCTCATGTTGAACTCATGAAGCTGCCATCTACTGAATCAGACCCTTGGTCCGTCAGAGCCAGTATTGTCTCCTCGGACTGTCAGCGGCTCTCCAGGGTCTCAGGTTGAGGCCCTTCCCTTCACCTGCTACCTGTTCCTTAACTGGAGATAACAGGGGTTGAACCTAGGACCTCTGGCATGCCAAGCAGAGGCTCTGCCACTGAGCCACAGCCCCTCCCCTCCCAAGCCTCATTCCGCTTGCTCCTGACTGTCAGTGGCCCTCCAGGAAATCTCTCCTTATATATAATTGAATAGTGGGTGCCAAAGTTCTAATTCTAAAATGCACTCCCTTAGTGTATGGCTGATGGCACTGCTCCTCAGCATATATCGCCACCAATCAGAAGGCAAAGCCCGGGTCCCGCCCACACCACAACTGCTGCGACAACCTGGTCTTTTGCATATGGAAGCTGATTGGACTTCACTCCATTCCACACCTCAAACTCCCCCCCCCCCGCAAGGCAGTTGGAATGTCAGTTGCATATGGAACCTGCTGTATTCTGGTGGTGTGCAGGTCCCAGATTCATGTTTTAAAAGCAGACTGACACTGTTTGCCCAAAGCCAGAGCACTCTCCCAGAGCCTCTTTCTAGCTCCCGTTGTATTTATTTCCACAACGGGCCTTATTTCTAGTCCCCTCATAAATTAACTGGGCCATCCCTCCCAGATTTCTGAACCCATCCCTATGATGATACCCACCTCAACATCTTACAGATAAAAATAGGGACACCCATGTCACTCAGTTTTTATGCCAAGGCTTCCCTTCAGTCTACCCCCGGTGGTGTTACTGAGACCAGACTTTCAGATGCAGGGTTCCAAAACTGTCTAGGTAAATGCCAGGAGATTTGAGGGACAGGCCTGAGGATGGTGAACTTTGAGGAAAATGTGATGTCGCTTCTGGGTAATGCTCTAGGAGTTTCTCCTAATCTCTGTGGTAAAGAGCATAGAAACTAGAGGAATTTCCTAGAGCCCCACTATCGAAGCAGTTTTTTTTCTTCTGTTCCTCACTTCCTTTGAGGTTGACAGACTGGAACTGGGGGCTGGGGGATTCCCCACCAGGCCCAAGTATTTAGGAAGCCTAGTCAGGCATAAGTCCAGAGCTTCAGCTCACATGCGTAGTGTGTATGAGGGGTGGGGTGACAAAGCAAGGTTTGCAGGCGAAATATATGTTATCTTCTAAAAGGGGATCCCCATAAAACCATGAAGTGCAGAATCTAAAATTACCTACCTGCCATCAGTGCACACCACTAAACATTGTTGATGGCTCTGTTCTGTCTGCTGTGTGCCATATTCAGCAGGCAGTGATAATTATTTCAGATTTCCAATCCCTGATGTCTCAACCTGAATATTCCTCATGTCTGTCGCGTTTCTCTGCTGTGTGAACAGAATCTATGATTCTTCCTTTCCATGACATTTTCTGTTTACCTGCACCGACAATACCGGCCTTTTCTAACATCAAAATAGCATTATAAATTATACACACATTTATATTAGAAATGACGTACCTTCTGTGTACCCCTTGCATGAAAAAAAAAGTCATTCCACAACTGCCTCTCCCACTTGGGTTTTCACTCACAGCACTGCAGGATTAATGAGCAAATATATGCCCTTGGGCAGACATATGCACTTGGGGAATAATGGGATCAACTTCAGCCCCCTCCCCCGGCTTCTCCTGGGGGGGCATGTCCCAACTGGGCGTGGAATGATGACAGAAATCAGACAAGCAGCATCCAAATTAACAAAGAGTTTTAAAAAGTCACAGAAACACCTGCATGCATATTTACGCAGCACATCTGAGCAAGATCCAGTGAAAAGTGATATAACCACAGATCCTCTGATCCTGTTTCTTACTTATCCCTACGATGTTAAAGTAAGGATGGGTCCCTTCTCGTGGAACTGCAAGCATTCAGAAATGGTTTATACCTCTGTTTCATAAATGGAGTTCTATTCTTTTGTTCAGCTGCCCATTTTACTCCCTCCCTAATGGTGAGTTCACTGCCTTCCCTGTTCTCAAGGGACAGTGACACTGGACAATGTGCCTTTCAAACTTCTGTAGCTGAGGAGTGACTTTTCTCTACCCTTTTGGGGTGTCTGCACGTCTCAAGAGCTGGGTAGTTGTCCTTCAGGGAGGTGAGTTATCCCCACATCGCTTCCTGTTGAATTCTGTTACCCAAGGGGGAAAAGGCAGTTGGTTTTGGTAACCTCTGAACATGGGTAGAAAACAGACCCATCTCGAGTACACTTTGGGCCAAGCCAAGTGTAATGGTGGCCACAGGTCCATCCCGTGGCTGCCAACACCATTCCAGAAGCGGTGGTAGCTCTTTGAAGGTGGTTGTGAGGCCCCGATCTGGAGCGGGCGCAGGGCGTGGTGCCCCCAAGAGCTCTTGTTTCTCCAGCACTTGGAAAGAGGTAGGACAAGAGCTACTGGGGATGTCATGCCCAAGCACCCGATCCAGATTGTGGCCTCACGGCAATTTTTAAAAGACTATGGTGGGGGCATGTGCCATCAAGTCACATGGGATAGGTCCACGCGTGACCACTGTGACATTTCGTTGGGCTCCAAGATGAAAATTCTGGGGGTGCAGGGCCCTTCTTCACAGCTGCTATGGGGGAAAGTGCCCTGCCCTGGACAGCCCCATCTATTCAGATCTTGGAAGGTAAGCAGGGTCAGCCCTGGTTAGTATTTGGGTGGGAGACCCCCAAGGAAGTCCTGGGTCTCTTCACAGAGGCAGGCAGTGGCAAACCACCTCTGACTTCATCTCTTGCCTTGAAAACCTTACAAGGTCACCATAAGTTGGCTGTGATTTGACTGCAGTTCCCACCACCACCACCACGGGAGAAAGTCAAGGGCTGCCACTGGTGCTCTTAATGCAAGAAGATGCTGAAAGTATTCCTGGTTCCAAATACTGGTGACCAACAATGGAGTCCATCAGCATCTGGGCTCAACACCACCATCACTCCAAGTGTTACCAGTGAGGCATCAACATGGCACAAAGTTCGAAGACTGCTTTCCCCTGCCAGGGCAGAGATGGGACAGTTCTGGAAATTTTGCAGCCACAGGGGGCAGACAAAAGTCTTGGGAAGGGGGTGGAAATCTGGGGGAGGGGGGAATGAAAGGCTATAAATTGTCTTAACTTAAAAAAAAAGTCTTCATGCTACATGTTTTGAGTGTGTCACACCCTGTCTTAAAAACTGTTTCACTGGGTCAAACTTTTCCCCCATATGATCTCCCCCCACCCCCGCCCCTTGAAACTTCAATTGGAAAAGTTTTCCCATTGGAAAAGGGGGGATCTTTAGGAAAAATAGGGGTGTGGAGTTTATTAGGAATTTCTCAATTGATTCAGGAGATGGTCATTTGAAGTGTGACCCCTTCTCTCTCTCCCTCTCTCCCTCTCCTCTGGGGCCAAGCAGGTACCCTGAAGAGGAGATCCGGCAGAAAGTGGGAACTTTCCGACAGATGCTGATGGAAAAGGAGGGCGTGCTCACCCGCGAAGACCAGCATGGGAGGCAGATGTGAGTATGGAGGGGCCTGTACAGGGCTGTGGGAGTGGGCTTGAAGGGGGATGACAGGGCTATTTTTGGGCAGGAACGCACAGGAACGGAGTTCCGGCTGGCTCCCAAGTTGGCCACGCCCAGCAGGAACTCATTAGCATAAAAGGCCACACCCAACAGCAGGAACTCATTAGGA